GGCTGTGGCTCAGGGGTAGTGCACTTACCTGGCAAGTGTGAGGCACTGGCGTCGATTCTCAGCACCACATATAAATAAATGAAATAAACATCTATCAACAACTAAAAAGAATTAAAAAAAAAAAAAGAAGGAATAAAATATTTTTCTCCTGGCTTTTGCTTTAGAGAAACAAGAAAAAAATTTCCTAATGGGAAACATCTTCAGCGAGTTTTCCAGCCACATGTTCATTTACTTCTAGGCATTTCTGGTATCAGACAGAAATGCCACAGAGCCTTTTATAAGAAAAGGGCAGATCAGTGCTGGGCACAGTGGTGTGTGCTTGTGATCTCAGTAGCTTGCAAGGTTGAGGCAGGAGGATCATGAGTTCAAAGCCAGCCTTAACAACTCAGTGAGACCCTAAGCAACTTAGTAAGACCCCGTCTCTAAATAAAAAATAAAGGGCTGAAGATGTGGCTCAGTGGTTAAGCACCCCTGAGTTCAAACCTTGGTACCAAAGGCAGATAAAAAAGGAGTGGCAGCCCTTCAGAAGTACTGCACTTAAAAGGAAAGACATCAACTGAGGTGGTGATTGTTCTGAGTCAGGCCTGGCCTCTGTGCTCTTTAGGAATAATTCAGGTTCTATACTAGAGGGTATGAACAGGTGGGTGTGAAATTTGGTCCAAGTTAAAGCCACTTAAAAAAAATTTTCTATGGGGCTTAGGAACACACACCTGTACTCCAGTCATTAGTGGTATAGCACCCCTGAGTACTGGGGGAAAAATTAGTGGATTGTTCATGATTTTTTTTTTTTGTACCAGGGATTGAACCCAGGGGTACTTAACCACTGAGCCACATCCCCAGCCTCCTCACCCCCTTTTTTGAGACCCCCTTAGCCTCTCCAAGTTGCTTAGGGCTAAATTGCTGAGGTTGGCTTTGAACTTGCAATCCTCCTGCCTCAGCCTCCTGAGCTGCTAGGATTATAGGTGTGCACCACCGTATCTGGCCACATGATTTTTGAACACTGGGTAATAGTATGTTAGCACCTTTTTGTTTTATCATGGGCTTTAAGACACCATGAAAAATACTTGTCAATACCAAAGATTTCATAATCACCAGTCCCAAACTGCCTCTGTGGTTATTGTTCTAATACAAACAACTGTAGGCACAACCATTTAGATATTTAATTTATTATTAAATTACATAACAAAGCTTCTTCTATACAGTCAGAAAATGCACATTTAGATGAGAACAAAAATTAAGTACAAATACAATAAAATTGGTTCCAAGAAGCTATTTTAAAAGCAAAAAATTAGAAAGTGCATTTGGAAAAGAATAGATTTTAAAAAATCTGTATTGGCATTTTTCATGAGAAAACATCTTCCATCACAGTAAAGTGTAATTGGAATGATTTCCCCCTCTCAAAGAGCAAACAGGATGGAAATGGATGAAATAATTTGATACTAACATCAGATCTTAGGTTAGATACAAAGAAAATGAGAAAGATCCCTTAAGACATGGCTCAGCTTTGTCTCAAATTCTTACCCAATAAACATTCTTAAAATTTACTTGTTCCTTCCTCATTTTCTTTCTCCCTATGAAACTTTAGGGTATACAGATTTATTAAGGAATAAACAAGATTAGTTTGTTAAGATGATGAAAAGTTATGCATCATTTTGGAGACCAGGCTACATAACTTCTGGTCTAAAAGGAGAATGAAACAGTCATTGTAATCTGAGCAGAATCCATTTGTTCTTTAGTTAGATTTGCCACCAAACTCAGGGTAACACTGGACATGGTCATTTATCCTCAACAGCTTACTTTAATATTACAAGTTAGAAAACTCAAAATTTCCAGAAATTATATCTAGCTAACGAGGAAACACAAGTTCCTAAAAGTCACTTCCATCGAGTTGGGATCATTAACAGTGAAACATAAAATTTATGGGCGGGGGAATGAAAATGTAAGGTGCGTCAATTTCACAGGGGCTGAGTTTTGTATCAAAAGGCCTAGTAAATGTCTTTTTATTCTCTTCAGAAGTGTTCACAGCCAAAATGAGAGAACTAAGTAAATATTATTTGGCTCCAGGTACAAAAAGTACCCTCAAGGTGTCTCCTCATCTGTCTCCTTTCTCAGGAGTTTACTCCCACATTTGGTCTGAGTATGGGGCAGTATGGAAAAAGCCATTATCTTAGAAAGTGAATTTTAGTAAAAGAAAAAAGGAACAGTGGAAAAGGAAAGCCCTTTTCAACATTGGAAAATTTAAAAAGTGAGCAATGCAGGTTACAGGGAGTCCTCCAGCATCATTAATAATAACAAAAAGAATGTGGACATTTCCAGGATGGATAATCCGTAGTACTTGGGTATCTGAGCTTGAACTTGAACTTGAGCAATAAGTTAAATATTTATTTTCACTAAGGTCATCAATATACATTAAAAAAAAATCTTAAGAAATATGCCATTCTGAACCAGGCACAGTGGCACATGCTTATAATTCCAGCTTCTCAGGAGGCCAAGGCAGGAGGACTGCAAGTATGAGACAAGCCTGGGGAACTTAGCAAAACCYCATCTTTTTAAAAAAGGAAAGAAATAAAAGAAAAATACACTGAACATTTTTGCCTTTTTGTTGCCATTGTTTTTCACATTTTTTAATGAAATGAAGTTTTGAATGGTTAGTAAAAAGATCCAAAATGGAAAGACTTATACAAGACAATGGCCAAAGGGGCAAAACTTTCCTAAGAGGCAACATTTCACTGGGACCAGAAATAGGAAATTCCTTCTGACCTCACCTGGGCTTGACTGGCTTTAATAAGTAACTAGCTGTTGGCTCCTGACTCTAGCAACTGCCCTGTAAGGAAGACAGCGAAAAGGGGGAGAAAAGCAAGATGACTTAAAAAAAAAAAAAAAGAAAGAAAAGTTTAAATGGCATAAGACTGAAATTCAAATCAGCAGTTTCAGGATCCAAATTAAGATCCTTTCTACAAGAAACACATCTCCATTTCCTTTCTGCAAAYGAAGGCAGGAACTGAAGGGGAAGGCAAGAGCACTCTTCTATCTCCTAGCTACCTGGGGCACCTCACTATGGGTGACAGCACTGGGAGGTTAGTCAGACCCATCTGACACCAACATCTACACCAAACCYTTTCAACTTCCTTGGAAGAACTAGTTTCTTTATTTTCATAAAGAAAATAATCAACATAATTCTTTTACTTCGTATAAGCACAATCGTCCTGAAAAGGCTCCTCAGCCATCAGCTGCAGCAAGCTAGATTAGCTGTGTCTTACTTTTACTCTCACACAATCAACTTTAATGAATGAACCAAGTAATCAGACCAGTAAAAAAGACTGGTAGCATAATTAAATAAATAACTTTATTTATGATACTTCAGATTTTATAAATGCCAACTATATAGCAACCAAGGTCCCACAAATTCTAACYGAGGCACAACCACCAATCAAGGCCCTTTGAAAAATCAAAGATAATAGTTTCAGGGGAGAGAAGTTTTGTTTTCCCAAAAGAGAGTTTAACAAATGAACTTATTTCCCCGATCCTTTAAGGTTCACAATGGGAAAACTTAACTTTCTTTTAAGGGCATCCCCAGTCAATGAACTGATCAGTCAACCCATATTTATAAAAATAAACCCCATAGTTAAGAAAAATATATCAAATGCCCTTCATACCCAGAATGTAATAAAACTTTGACACCAGAATGATAAATCTCTCAGCCAGTCCGATGTTAAGTCTACCCATGAGGCAGTTCATCAAGTCCACCTGAACAGCAGCATATACACAACATAGCGAAGAATGACAAGCTAATGTCCTCCTTCCCTGTGGCACAGTCTGAAGATGATATAAACATCGTGGTAAATTTCTATGGGGAAGAGCAGCAGCCTTCTCTCGGTAAGGAGTGTAGATGTTAGAAGTCTTTAAACTACCTGGTAGTTCAGTAAGATACGTAATGAATTTACAGAAACTGAGAAATGGTTAATCTGGGAAAGAATTCTGGTGAGTAGTTTACATTTCTGTCACTGTCCAGGGATGGTAATAGAAGATAGGWGCAGTTAGACAGATTCTGTCACARGCACCTTTGACAGTGAAATCATTCTCTGGATGTCTGGAAAAGCTTAAGAGATTTGGAATGAATAGATTTTCACAGAACACAGAATTCCTGACACATCAGGCAGTAGTTGTTAAACTTTTGCTCCTAAGTTGTGGAGCATTTACAAAAGGATTATCTGGATAGTGACTTCTGAATGTCTTTTTGTATTTTGTTTGTCGAATAAATCTCACTGAAAATTGAGCAGTGCCCCTGCCTCCAGTTACCAGTGTTAATGCTGACATAATAGGGAAAAATTGGGGGTGTTACAGACATTGGCTACTAGTTTCTCTCTTTCATCATGGTAGAATTAAGGTTTCATTATTTTATAGTAGTAGTTGTAGATTTCATTATCTTGTAGTGGAAGAAAAAAAACCCAAAAAAGTAAAGCAATTTACTTAAAAAAAAAAAAAAAAAAAAGGTCTGTCATTCTCAATGTTTTTCCAGCAATATAGTCAGTGTACTCAGAATTTTTAAAAAGAAAACACAAAAGCTTTTTTGCTGTGTTCTCCATTTCAGACAACCTCAAACATGCTGTTGTTGGCTTATCAGCATCTCAAAAGAGTCTGTGAAAAAATGGAGTTTTCCTTGAATATATATATATATATATATATAAAAAAAACTGGGGACAGAGATAGGAATCTATAGCCCAGATTATCAGGGAAAGACTTGTGATTTCTCATCTTGAGTGTTAGATAAAAGAACAAGAATTATTTTTATTCACAACCTAATCAGGTGGCTGAAAGAAAAGCAGTCTTTGGACGCAGAGAAACCTGGCATTTTAAAGAATCCAGCMGTAAGATCTGGCTTGTCCTCAGGATTCAGCACTGTCACTGAAGCACAGAAGTTCTGTTTTTGATTGGTTTACTTACCTCGTAGGGAGACAAAAGCAACTAAATCCCCCCTTCTCCTTCTTTTTTTTTTTTTAAACTAAAAAATGGGGAAATGTGTGTTAGAAAAGATAGCACAGAAAAATCTGTGGCTTTAGTACGACCTGACCATGTCACAGAGCCATACTATTAGTTTGAATTCATCTGGTGGTCAGATTAATTGTCAGGACGGTCAACTTCTTCCTACTTTTCCTTATTCCAGATCAGGGCGTGAAAGTGGTGGTCGTCAAGAGTCCATGGAGATGTCCCATCAATGGAAAGCATACAGCAGCAATAGGATGGTGCAGACACCAATCACACCACCTAGGATGAGGGAGTCTCGCCGCTTCCTAAGATTGATCCTCTGGATCAGGCTGTTCACAGCAGGAAAACGATCTTTGGGAAATCTTTATTAAGGTCATATTTGAAAGAAGTCTCTTTGTTGAAAAGTCACAGGAATTAAAAGAATAGCCATGAGTGGAGTCCAGAAAGAAGAAATGATGAGAGGAAACAAGGGGGGAATCATACTCAGGGAGTCTTTAGCAAACACATATTCCAAAACTGAGACAAAGGCGCTAAGCACCTCAGTGAGACCCTGTCTCTAAATAAAAKAGAAAATAGGAGCGGGGAAGTGGCTCAGTGGTTGAGTGCCTTAGAGTTCAATCCCTGGTACCAACAACAATAAAAGGTCGGGGGAGTGCAGTACTGCCAGTCTTATGTCTAACATACAAATGAGAATAATAAAAAGAAAAAAAATAATAGAAAAAGAAAATAATGATGACTGTCCTCATGTACAATGGGATTACTGCCAAGCTTCAGGTCAGGGTGGGAGCTAGTATGGAGGAGCTACCACCTCCYCTCCCTCATCCCACTCCCCACTTTTCCTCTCTCCTATTGCACCCCACCGTCTTCTTTCAGGAGACTGGGAAGTTCTGCCTGCAGATTTTGAAGAAAACCTGATCCTTTCTCCATAGAGAAATAACTATTCTTGCATTTAAGCAGCTGATTGAAACCAATCTTGGGGTCTATATAATTAGGTATTGGTAAATTATTTAAAATTTAAAATTTACTTTACAGCAATATAGGCAGAAAATGGGTTAAAATGCTCTTGTCTATTTAGAGAACATTAAGAAAGATGAGAAATTTTCAATTTGGGGGGTTTCATAATAGTTATAATTATATTTTACTTAGTATTTCAATTTATCGTCATACTCTTACTTGTTTGTATGTTGTTGACCAAAGCGCCCAAACTGTTTTGTATTTCTGGCAATGGTTTCTGACAATACAGAGGAATCCTCTTTGTTTATCAGCGGTATTATATCAAGTTCAGGAAAACCAATGACACAACCCACCAAGGATATTAGAGATCTGGAATAATCCCCGCTCCTTGAGAGTCTTTACTGTGTTTTTCTGTAATAAAATGACTCTGATCATGGATTACATTTGTGTACATATATAGTCTACATGCTATATGATCATGTCTTCTAATCMTGAAGTTTCTTCAATGTCTATAGAATACATACTATAGGCATTAATGTATTTTTTAATTAAAGAAAAAATACAATTGGAAGAAATGATTTTAAAGATGTATAAAAGAAACATGTACTGAAGTCATAAAATCTTTTTTACAAGGTAAAAAATTTCAGAGAGAAAATGCTTAATTTTTTTTTTTAGTTAAATAATGATAAACAAATCCATTGAGATTATGGTAAAATTTTGATTTCAGGAAACTATCTATAATAGACATAGTTTTTCCCCAGTTTACCTTTAGAAATCACCCCTCTTTCCTATAATAATCTAGTTCAGTGCATGTAATAAGGTGGGGCTGACCCTGCCCTCTGCCATCAAGAGTACATATAATGTTGGGTGCAGTGGCACACGCCTGTAATCCCAGCGGCTCAGGAGGCTGTGAGGGAGGARGATCATGGATTYAAAGCCAGCCTCAGCAATAGCGAGGCGCTAAGCAACTCAGTGAGATTCTGTCTCTAAATAAAATACAAAATAGGTCTRGGGAAGGGGCTCAGTGGTCAAATGCCCCTGAGTTCAATCCCTGGTACCACCACCAMCAMCAACAAAAGTCAGAGGAGTGCATACAAACTCAGAATTGGTAAGACAATCCCTTCCCTTGGCCAATGACTAGGTTAGAAAAGGGCAGTAATTCAAGCTGGGGCAACCACAGTCCTCATTGGGGCTTTTGTGACAGCTGTTAGAAAGGACATTATTTTCCCCAATCTTTTGATTTGGTGTTAAGAGTCATCTCTATCATCATAAGGAAATGCCTGCCTGAGAGTAATTTTATTCATTATATTAGGAGGCTAAGGAGGACTTAATTAAACCCAACTACAAAAAATCCTGGATRTTAACAGAAGAAGGCTGAGTTATGAGAGGGGAAGGGAAGGTAAAAAAAAAGAGAAAAGGCAGATTTCTGATAAAATCTGAGCTTGTGAATCCAGCATGTCTGAAACCAAACTCTATCTCTGGAATTTATAGTTAATAATTTATAGTTAATTCCCCTCTTTTCTCTTTAAGTCAGTCTGAATTAGGTTTCTGATGTTACTCTACGGTGTCCTGACAAYTCACACCATTTTGTTTGATTGTTTTTTGCTATTCTAGAATGAAGTATAAAATTCCTGGGTTGCTCATCTGTACCAGACACTATTCTGGGCTTTGGGGTACTTTATTGTCTTAAGAGAACTTAGGGTCCAATAGAGAAGAAAGACATTCAGACTAGAGAAGAAGGCATGAAGAACAATGGGGACAAATTCTAATGGACAATTTAGACAGGTTTTAGTGAGTATTACAAGTAATCCAGCTATCCAACCTCCACTTCCATTTAAAAGTTTCAGTGGTTTCACCCAAAACAAACTTACTTGCTGACAACCAAGTTCATTGTTTAAGAAGGACACTAGGGCTGAGTGTGGTAGCTCATGCCTATAATCCCAGCAACTCAAGAAATGGACATAGGAAGATCTGAAGCTCGAAGCCAGCCTTGGTAACTTAGCAAGGCCCTAAGTAACTTAGTGATACCTGGTCTCAAAATAAAAAATAAGGGCTGGGGATATGGCTCTATGGTAAAATGCCCCTGGGTTCAATCTCTAGTACCCCCCAACCAAAAAAAAAAAAAAAAAAAAGGACACCAGGATTTCATGGAAAATGCAACGGGAACTTAAAATTTGAATCTCTAATTTGTTCTTTACTAACTGTAGACCTGGGCCAAGCTACTTTTCTAAGCCTAATTCTTCATTTGCAAAACAATAATAATTTCTGCATTTTCTCTTTTACGCTGATGATAAAATAAAATAATGCATGTAACAGTATATAGCATCATATAAATAATAAACAATTTTGAATGTGCAGTTTATGCTAGGGTAACAAGAAAAAAATCCAATAATAAACTCTAAGATATCCTTTTCCTTAAGCAAATAAGTATTCATGATCTTAAATAGGTAGAAGTGACCTTGAGTTATCTAGGACTAGAATATACTCAACCTTTGAAAATTACAGGTCTTCTCCACAATTTTTGGAAAAGAAAGATTTTTTTCCCTAAGGCTTGTCTTCTCTGAGAGTAAGTAAAGCGCTTCTAAGTGGTAGGCTTCTCAGTTTCCCTACTGGGCTTCTTGGAAGTATAATTAACAATCTGAATCTGGGAAACTGAATAATTTAAGAAGTAGAGGTCACAATAAATAAGTTGGGCACTTATCCTGGAATTCAACTTGTGCATGCAGAGTCACAACACTTCTATCAGCAGTTACAACTCATCTGAGTATATGGCTATCTTCTTCTAAGTATCTAACACTGACTCATTCTCCAAACTGGATAAAAAAAATATAATTTATGATGTTTAGATAATAATAGTGTATATTATGGAGTCCTACCATAGATTCAGTACATTTAAATGTAAAGATAATTTTGTGAACAATTTTAAAATTCAGGTTTTTTTCCCCCTAAATTTACTATCACTAAACCCAGGTGATACTTTCAGCATGAACTTTCACAAATTAGAAAGTATTTGTCCTATGTAATTACTGAGAGGCTCTACTGATGTCAGTACCCACTACCCACCTGCAAAAAAAAAAAAAAAAAAAGAACAGGTGTACTCTTCTGTCCACCCCACAAAGCAGATTTCAAACTTTCAAAAAGGATACTGGCCAAAGTGTTCATTTTGCTGTGAATTGACTTTAACATTCCTCTCTGTGAAGTCATATTTTCTTTCGTTGCCATAGCAATGCTTTAAGGAGGGAAAAAAGAAACAATTAAATTGGCATTTAATGTTACTCTGCATAGATTCATCACACCCCTAACAGTGAATGGGAAACTTTGGTGAACAACATCATCACTCAAAGCAACAWGTGGGAAAAGCACTTCCCCAAACCACTTTCCATTGTCCTTTTTCTGAATGACCCCACTGCAATCCAATGATGTCTTTTTGTGTAAGGCAGCAAGTCATTTCTTCAAAGTAACAAATGAAGTAAGATATTACAAATCACATAAAGCTTCTTAAAAYAGTTTTGAATGGATCCAACTGCTAAAATATTCTTAATCAGGAAAAACTGTTGAGAGGGAAGCAGAGAATTACAACCATAAAAATAGAACTCAAAGCACCTATTCATATACAACCAGCCCTCAAGTTATGCACAAATTATTTCCAAATTCTACTTGAGAAACACTAGGCAGATTTTGGGACATACAAGCAACGTTATGCTGGGTTTCACTTCACACCAGCTGACAAAGGTCACAGATTGACTATGACTGAAAAAAGGGCAAAAGCCACTCTTTGTAAATTGTATCTCTTCCACATGACTACTTTGATGTACTATTTAAAAGAATCTGAGTTAAGCTGGGTGTGCATGCCTGTGATCCCAGCAACTCAAGAGGCTGAAACAGGAGGATCAAGAGTTCAAAGCCAGCCTCAAGCAAAAGCAAGGTGCTAAGCAACTCAGTGAGACCCTGTCTCTAAATAAAATACAAAATGGCCTGGGGATGGAGCTCAGTGGTTGACTGCCCAGAGTTCAATTCCTAGTACAAAAAAAAAAAAAAAAAAAAAAAAAAAAAAAAAAAAAAAAAAAAAAA